GAAGACCAAGTATTACCACAGGGAGTTGGACAAACTTGTGTATTTTATTAAATTATTAAATAATAAAATGTTATATAACCCTAGGTGTGTCTACATCGTGCGTTAAAATTTGCATATAACATTAGCGAGTAACAAAGATTGTGATAAAGGAAAGAGTGGTATAAACAAAGATCAGTGATTACTTGAAATCGATACCAGGAAGGGGAGGGGGTGAAAGAAAAGTTATATAACATTTTATTATTTAATAATTTATTAAAATACATTAGTTTGTTCAACTATCAGGGGTAAATTCTTCTCCTCGGGGTTCTCCACACTTGCCAGGGGGGAATCTCGTCTCGTCTCTCTATCGTGTCCCCTTGAGGTACGGGATCGGGAAAGTCACTTATACTTTACAGTCAAATAAGCCGCACACAACGAAATACGTTTCAACTCTCGTCTTAGTCGGTCTTTCGAGCACTCTATAAGACACGGCGCCCTGGGGAAAAATCCCCAAGACTATCTATCGCAAGGCTAACTCAAGACTCTGTCCAAGACTCTCCAGAAATGGACTCTCAGACTGTGTCTATCGGAGTACTCGCCAAGATCAACTCAAAACTCTCTTTATTCATTTTCAAAACACTAACCAATTACAAAGCAGTAAAAAGACTCTAGGGCGTAACCTTCAATCATAAAGCCAATCACACATATCTTTTGATTAATCGTTCACTACATTAATAACTACGAATACTAACTGTCAGAATTAATAGTCAGAATAGCGACGGTTATCTCGTAATTAGTTCCAAATCACTGTGCCAAGTTCCGTCCAAAACTTCAAATAGGCCCAAACGATGACAGACATAACACAGCAATTCGCTCGTAATCAGCTAATTAAGTCGATTAACAGATACGCAAAAACAAATTCATGACACAACTCCCTGTGGTATTACAGAGTACCACCAACATAATTACATTTAGTGGACTGGTGAAAAAAAAACAAGATGTCCTAAATCATATTTGCTAAATTTGCTGCACATATTAACATATCATTGATATCGTTTTAATTTTTAAACTCGTCACAAACGACTCGAATATCGTTGGTGATATTGAAAGGCATATGCCACGAATATTAAATTGATCAATAAACATTTATTACGATCTTTATTTTGGCCAATCAATTAAGGATTAAAATATTGGTCAACGATAGGGATTGTTCAGTACGCGTTATCAATAGATGTGGGCAATGGAAATCCAGAAAGTCTGAAAAGATAAGTATATACAAAAGAGAACGGATATACAAGAAATTATTTAAATAAATAAACAATTAAATATACATGATCATTAGGAACATTGTTTTAACTTGTCCGACTTTGATCCTGCACATAGACATCTTTACATGTGATGTCAAGTTTTTTGTGAAGTGTTTTGAACAGAGCTATTAAAACTATTGTACAGTTTTGGAGGGTTTTTATACACAAAAATAATTGATTTGTGTGGAATGGTTAAGAAGGTGCACCCTGAAAAAAAGAGATATATAATTACCAGCATTTGTCAACAGGTGCAACCACGACGGCAGTGCATATACGAAGAAAATGTTGGTGGCTGTGACCATACCTAGAGCTTTAAATGACTGATTATACATTCGATGACTCGCCTCAACAGCACACCTCTTTGTAAAGGAAGGACGTTTGTATGTTTACGAACTTGATATGGAGCATTTTTATTGAGTGGTATTTAATCAGAACCAGCTTCATTGCTTAGGTTTAGGCTTCATGTGATGGGCATGACTATAGAGGTCAATAATCAACACGAAATGAAAGGCAGCAGTAGGGGTTTTCTCAAATGACGAATTGCACTTTTCATGCACTGGGAAAAACATCAGGCAGCGGCAACAAGAGCTAGGGGGTTTCATGGTTATTCCTGATTCAGCATAGCTTATAATATGTATTATCCAATTTCAAATAAAAATAAAAAGAACATATAACCAAATCTCATTAAACTAAAATATAGTTTCGGCTTTTGCAGTCAATTTTGTTTTTATTATGAAAGTGGTACACGATCGAAAAATATATCTTATTATAATCACATTGATATAAAAACCATATTTGAGCTTGACTTTGAGCTGTGCCCATATTCCAAGAATGAATTTACAGTCTGTACATGGTTAAATCAAGGAGACTGCAGTTAAACCTTCTTCTACTACCAACATACTCTTGAATACACATTTGCACCTTCCTAAGATTTGCTCCAGCCAGTCAAATGTAATAATTACTACATTCCCTCTTATAGGAGGACTGTGTAATAACTATATCAATAGTTGGCTAGACGTAACTAGTTCACAGCAATGGCTCAATGTTTGCCTGTCTTTCGATATGGTGGAAATGTTAACATATTCTCCAATAGCACTATTAAATTTAAAAAAAACGATTTTCATTTACCTGTAGCTATTTAAAAATAATCCATTGAATTTCCTGCAGGTCAGTAACGCAATAGTTCAAATAAAGGAACACTGCGTTGGGCAAAATCAAAGATGGCCGCTTCCATTTTACCAAGGCAGACTACGGTTATGTAATTTGTTGGAGAATAATGAAAACCGGATCTTGATTAGAGGTCTCCCACTTGAATCAGTAAGTGATACATGTAAAACTCCAATCACTCAAAAACTAAACTTATAAAAACAATAATGTTGATCAAATCAAGCCGATATTTAATTGGACAGATTGAGTTTAATTAAAATACCAATTATAATTATTTACACAAATCAAAATATTTTACATGTCCCTTCAAACAAAATCAGTCATTATGTGTAAAAAGTGTAACTTTCTTAATTCAGAAATGTATCGCAAAATATATAACATACGCATAATGTTCAATACTTCCGGAAATAGAAAAAATATGGACGCATTTTAATACAAGAGTGCTCAAAAATACTAATATACAAGTTATCTTCATACTTATTTGAAAAAAAAAATTACAGTCCAAAAGTTTTTTATTAGACATTACTGTCTCCGGTATTTACAGTAAGCACTCTCAAGCAATTTCTTATAATATTCTAACCACAGCAATGGGAAACACTTTCATGGTCCTTAGAAAATCAAATATGCGAACATTAGCTTCACATTATGCAAATATAATCACAAAAGTAATCAGTTTAATAAATAGTAGTATTGACATGATTAGAATAGAACATAAAATAAAAACAAAGCACATCGTTTGCATAACAATGAAATTACCAAATATAAAAAAAGTGCATGTATGTATGTATGGAGTAACAGTATAGCCTGTATTAGAATCACCGTAGATACTAGAACTCTTACTGAACACTTAGATGTACAGAACACATGTAGATCAACTGAGGAGGTACTTTAGATCTACAATCATCTATATTTTGTACACCTAATAACCTACAGTGTCAGCACACATCAACCTTCAGTACTGGATGTATCGGTGTATCCCAAGAGCTATTTGACAATGAGTGGTTCTAGGATGAAAATCCTTAATCAAAATAAAACAACAAAATTAGACAGCACACATCATAGTTGCATTAACAACCTGAATAAAATTAAACTTTGCTCTTAATCAACATTGCTTTACCGATGTTCCACCTGTGCAAATAAAGCTGACAATATATCAAAATCAATTTACACACACCAACCAGGTATATATTATATAATAATTATTACAGGTCACTCAAAAAGACGCTATTATGTGTTGGGAAGAAAGTATCAGAGTCCCATCGCTCAATAGCAAAAATATTGTTATTTTATTTTTTTAAATTTGTTGACATTAAAGGACGAAGAAATCTGGATAAAAATATAGGTCATTGTATCCAGTTCAGATAATAAGTAAGGGATAAAATAAAAAAAAGAGCATGTTTTGCTAGGTTCATGCTGTTTTACCATGTTACCATATATCTCAATATCTCAAACCTTTGCACTATGACATATGGTAAAATTATTATATACAGTAGATACTATTTTGGATGGAAGCTGATACTTTATGTAAATACTAGTAAAGTACTGATACCTGACAAATAAACGAGTACAGAGTTTCACACAGACGCACACACGTCAACTACCATGAAAAGTGAAGCCATCAACTATTAAGTTAATTTACATTATATTCAATTTAATTAAATTAAATTATGAAACTACGTAGTGTTGCATTTGAATTGAGTTGAATCAACTTAAATTCAACAACATAGAAATAACATCATACCAAACTTTAACTTAATTTCTATAAGCTGGATAATTTAGGTAAAAATTATATGTAAAAACTTATTGTGGAGTCTCTATATATGGGCTTCCTTTATATGGTGTATTCAATAAAAATGACTTCATTTTACATGAAAATACAACATACAAACACACACACATTAGTATATTTACATTTTAACGGTTTCACTCTAGAATAATGATTATCTGTACTTGTATTCATATGGGCAGCATGTGATTGTAATACAGCCCCCATCAGGAACTGATTTTCACAGTTACTAGTCATGCTAAGGTGCATTTAACTTGATTCTGAGAGCATTTACCAGGCTTTATTGTCTATTATGTGACATATTTAATATTTGGAATTGTAGTAAATGCATAAAAAAAATTATTTTGGCTTCCCATTTGAGTATGTGTCAGACTTTCACTTGCTAACAATTTTCAATGGTGTTTAAACATGCATAATTCACAGAGATTTGTTCTTGTTCTGAGATACTGGCAAATCCTTTTTATTAGTCCTGCAATGTGCACTATTTCACACCATAAAATATATCAAATAATAATGCTCTCAGAGTCCTAGTTTGAGTGTTTTCTTTCTCTTTCAACTAGAAGTAATTTATGAAAATAATAATTCCTAAAATTAAAAGAGTATATGAATATCAACCTGATATTGATACGGCCCATACCTCAGAAACCCAGACGCTAAGTTGCTAACCTAAAGTTAAATTAAAAACACTTGTCAATGCAACCATCTCATGGGCAATACATGGGCATTATAATGTAGATTACATACAGTCCAATACTGGAATATTAAGAAGCTGATGGCGGGAGTTCCTTTTTTACAGCTTGCAAAGCAGCTAAGCATTCCACTGTCACATTTAGTGTTCCAATGATTGTCTCCTCCTCATCCATGGCATCATAAACTGAAGACAAATAAAATAAGATATATTACAAATTCAGCCCACAACTGAAAAGTGATTACTACTGAGAATAGCCAAACTGATATAATAAACCTATATATACTGGACTAATGCATTTAGCGGCATTATCACTCTTCTTATGCTAAATGTGCATGTTCCTTCAGAAACGAGAAATTTCATTCACACGCACACATACAATCTCTATTTTTCAGCATTCAAAGGCAGATAATTATTCTATTCTATATAGTCATTAGTTTAGGTGATGATCACAGTTCTACTTTAATAGATCACAAACTTACTATCTAAATCCTGTTCGATGACATCCCTTCCTTTTTGCAGTATCTGACAAACATCAACATATGCATATCCAATATCCTCACAGTCTAAACTCTGATGATCTTCTGGCGGCTCATTAACTATGGTAAACCGAATCCTGTGAAACAAAAATCATGTACAGTTACATAATTTGATTCCATTTTCCTGATATTCGACAGGAGCTCATTTTAAAGCTTATAAAGAATTGGATTTGGCAATGTGATATGACATGAAATGTTCAAACGTTTTGAAGATGAATAACACTCCCACAACATAGACAGTACATCATGGTTTACTTACTTTCCTTCAGATACATCTTCTGGTAGAAGCATGCTGGCTAAATAGTCTCTCCGCAGCTTATTATTATCAATATCAACGTGGAAATCTATGAAACAAGCATATAAATGTATGCAAAAGGAAAATTCTAAAATACAAATTAAAAATGTAGTACAGGTTTTTAGGAAGTAAAATTCACACTATTTATTTTTATATAAGAATTGTTTCAAGCCATATTGAATTATATATTACATGAAAGCTCATAATTCACACTAATTACAAATCTATGTAATGTTAGATGCATGTGGTCATTTATGTAAATAAATCTTTTAGAGAAGATTCAAATGAGTGAATAATATACGAGACAAAGTCACAACAATTTTAGACTTTTTTCTTTTAAATTAATATTTTTGCATTGTCACCAAAAAAATTGTGTTCATTTTTATATTTAGATAGTAAAATCTCTAAAATGTGTGAATATAACAAAAATCACTATGACTGTTATGTTCACATACATTACAGATGCAATTTCTGCAAAATGTGGAAAGATTTAATGAGTGTCTGCTGAGTAGTACTCGTTTGAATGGTCATTTCAATCAATAGACGAATAGCAGAGTTGCTGCATTATTGTCTTTAAATGATCATGAAACCAATATAAATTGTAGATGATAGGTAAGCATCTAAATGAATGAATGAATGAATGAAGGGCCAGATGACAAGAGAATCAAACTTGAAGTACAAAACTATTCTTACTTTTCTTGAAGTTATAGGAAATGCGCTGATTTGGTTTGGGCTTTGGGAGAGAAAATGGTGTTTCTAACTCGGCTGGATCAACACCTAAAAATCTGTATTCCACATATAGTCTCTGTATCTTGTCATCCTGCATGACATCACTCTCCTCATCAAGCATCAGAGAAAACACAGCCACTGTCACAACATTGTCATTCTGAAAAACAAATACATGATGATAATCAAACCAGTGAAGTCTATTAAATATGAATGAATAGAAAATAAAAAAAAAGTTTTTTGACAAAAAGAGTTTGACAATCAAGATAAATTACTTACTCCTGTTGATGATGCTGGTCTGTTGATAGCTGGTGTCATGACAACACTACTGTCATCCTGAGACTCTAGTTCGTCATCAGTTTTAATGTCATCACTAGTGTCATTCCCGTCTCCATCCTCCATACCATTTGGTATATCAGTTTCCTTCTCTAAACTTGGATCAGTTACTAGAATTAATTACAAAACATACATTGTGAGACACAATATGAGTAGCATAAATTGATTGATCAACAAAAACAAATAAGTTGTTTGTTTCTGATCAAGGCTTCATAAGTCCAAAAAAGGTTGTTCATGACTTTTTTTTTTTTTTATTGTTTCTCCCAAA